TATATGTATATAAATGTATAATAATTGAAACGTGACTGTATTTTACAAAATACTAGTCTACTGAAACACAGCCACGACAAGTTACTTTGTACAAACCAAAGGTCAGTTTTATGTTATTTGATACAGTCACATGAGTTCAAGTGAGCCACATCATTGTAACTTCTGTTTTTGGCCAGGTGGTTAGGGCGCTCGATTCCCCATTACACCAAACATGCTCGCCCTTTCAGCTGTGGGGGCGTTATAATGTGGCGGTCAATCCCACTATTCGTTAGTAAAAGAGTAGCCCAAGAGTTTTATTTTGAAAGTCCTGATTTAATCCATAAGGGTAAAGAGTTTTTTCTTTCAGAATATGATATTCTTATCTTTCTGTTAAAAAATTTGTATAGTAGATTTTTTCTAATATAGTAATTTTTACATTAATAAATGAGTGTTTATTAAAATTATTTATTTCTGAATGACACTAAGTTGACAACCAGGCCTATTATATTTTTTAACACACTGCTTTCCTTATCTAGTCCCTTAGGGATTTTCAAGAATTAGAAATGTTTATAATAATAGTATTCCAACCACACTGTATTTATGATATCTGTTTTGCTCCATCCAGAGCTTATCAGGCCAGCTGAAACACAATAAACACACAAATGGCTAGAACATTGTTTTTATAAGCCATCTGTTAGAACAACAATTGTTATGGTAGTATGTTGTGTAGCCAAAACAACCTGCAAGACACTATGTGTTATTAACAGGAGTGATAGTGTAGTAATTTTCCACTTTCCTTAGCTCGGACTGTGGTACTTCAGATACCAAATTTCAAGGTAATCCATTAAGAAATACACAAGATATAAAAGTTCCAATTTTGATTGAATTTCCTCCTATTTTGTTTTCTTCACAACACCAAAATTATGGAAACTATTTGATAAAACAACATACTTAACTTTTATGGATTTTTTTTCAAACTTGGTACATTGATAGATCTTTACAGCCTACAATTAGGTGACAAATTTGGCTGGAATATCTAATTTCATATTGTTATAATTCTTGAAAACAGTATGTCTACCTTTTCAGTACTGGTACCTTTATGTATTTTTATTGCACTTTTAATGGTTAAGAAAAAAAAAGAAGCACAATTTCCTATCCTTTGTAACAAACATGTTTTTATTTCACCCATTTTTATTTCCTTTCTGCATAAAGTTTTGTCTGTAAACAAAACAACCCACTTGAAAATTTTTTTTAGGATTTTTCTATACAACCCAAAGACTAACTTTGTTTTGGCTAAGAACCTATCACTCATTTAGAATATATTAATTCACTTCTAAATTTTCAAGCATTTCTTTTAGTTCCTTTGTCAAGTGTTTTTTTTTTTTCATTTACTTATTAAACACAGCTTTGACAACAGCTATGAAGAAACTTTAAATATTAATTAGAGTAAAAATTCAGCTATCATGTAATAGTAAATATATAGCTTTAGGAATTTTTTTATAGTTTCTGTGATCATTTGTTTGGGAATTTTGAAAATATTTATATATTAAATTATATCTGCTTGAAAGTTGCAAAAATTTTCTTCACTGAGAAAATATCAAATAAGTTGTGACAAGGTGAGCTGGTATAGTTTAGAGATGGGTTGAACAGGTAACAAAGTAAAATTTTTACAAGTTTTCCACAGGAACAAAGGTACAAAGTTTGAAGAAGGTTTTGTCATCACCAGATATAAGTAGTTTACATAAACACAGAAGTTAATAGACTATACAAAATAAAGAAGTCACATGACTAGAGATGGCTTAAGGCTTAATAAAAGTAGCTCATTGATGTTTGATTCTTTGTTTTAAATTTTAATAGATGCACTGTGGTTTTATTCAGTTGCAATGTTTGTAAACATTAATTTTTTTTTTTTATATTATGTTCACCAAATAAAATCATCAGATCAGATAAGCTTAGTTAAGTTTACTGAGTTTGGTCTGATGATTCAGATCTTTATTATTATATTGAATGGTAATTCTTATGTATATCCTATTCAAATAAAATCATCAGATCAGATAAGCTTAGTTAAGTTTAGTGAGTTTGGCAACTACAAAATATTCTGATGGTTCAGATTTTTACTATTATATTGAATGGTAATTCTTATGTATATCCTATTCAAGTAAAATACATAAATAAACAGGCAAACTGGCTACTTAATTATTTCTAATTGGAATCATCGTATTTTCAAATAAAAACATCAATATGTTTTAATTATTCAATTATCAATTTATTTGATATACATAAGATCAGCAGAGAATTATTTATAAAAACAAACATAATGATAATTGCCTGATGGTATTTAGAGGGGTGCAGTTTTACTCGTCATTTAGTCATCATGCCAAGTTAATACTAGTTTGTGGTACTTAGTAGCTTACCTGGGGTAGAAAATGATAAAATACTTCCACCTACTTTACTTATTTATTTTGTGATAGATATACTATGTTTAATGTGGAGTGTTTTAGTTGCTGAAGTAATGGTAAAAGTCCAAAGAGTAACAGAACAACTTGTATTGTCTCTGGTCTGATGATACTCTTCCCTTGACAGTCACAGACTAGAGTTTAATAAGCATTGTATCATACAATCACCGTATGTCAAGTGCTAATCTGAGCACTAATTGCACTTAGATTTCATTGATTTTTTTCATCTTGATATGCAAAGATCTTCTAAAGCTAAAAATGACTTTGTTTTTTGGTCAGAAACAATTAAAGTATAAACTTCATCTATATCATTAGCAGTAACACTGGCTTTTAATTTCAATTTCCAACTAAACAAGTCTTTCATAATAATATTTCAATATGATTCTGGGATATTTTGTTATGGACAACTTATGACGTGATGGCATGGACTTTTTGTTATGAAAAACATTTCCTTTCAGCATCCAAGTTACCATCACATTGTTGTGAAAGGTTTCATTACAAGTGTTTATTGTGATTGGTGAATTTTGTTACTAGATTAACCACTATCTAATTCAAGTGCACATCGTAATACAGGCTTAAACTCCCTCTCACCCCCATAACATTATGTAAGTTTTGAATAGTCCCCAAATGATTGTACAATTTACAATCTATTATCATTTTTTATTATTGCCATCAGTCAGTTTTATATTTTAAAAACTACCTGTCATAAAATCAGTATTTGTAACAAAAACTGCCATATCACAAAGATGATGTAACAAGAATGTACTCATCACAAGTTGTCTTAGTAACAATGTGGCAGTAACAAAATGTCCAGATCCTTTTGATATACAACAAGTAGAATTTTCCTCCTGGAAATTTTCAACCATTAGCAGTACTGCACAGTGTTGAACAATTATTTTAACAAATCAACACACAGTTCCAGAGAGATAGAACACAAATCAGTTAGCATCAACCCTACACGTAGTTAAGTTCTAGAACATTTTTAACCCATGTGGAATAACAGTAAGACTCGTCTACTCACAAAAAAAGGAGAGAAAGATTTATTCTCATGTTTTTCAGTGGGATTTATTTGTGTTTGAGAAATTTAAAGTAGAAAAGAAAAGACTGCTTACCAATAATTTATCATTATTTTTAATGTTCTTGTTTTTGATATTAATTCAAGCCTTTTTTTTTTCAAATAGTACAAAAATCATATCCAACCAATTTGCTTGGGCTAATTTGTAAGATAAAATACCTAGGTAGACTATTGGTTAAGTTTAAATGTCTCTATAAAGTATAATTTTTTCTGATATTCATTTCGGTATTTGTCAAGGGAATTGATAGAACTACTTAAGTGCTTGACCAATTACTTAACCAGCTTACCAAAAGCTAAGTTTTATCTGTTATTAAACCACTTATCAGTTTCAACCCTTTATCAAGAATTAGATAAGTTTTGTAAAAGATCTTGGTGATTTATGTCAAAAGACAACTTCTAAACTTGAATTGTATTATATTATTTTTGGATATTAATATTTGCATTTCTGCTGAAATGCTAATATTTTCATGATAAAGTGTTTTTTGTTATTTTATTAACATAAAACTAGCTGTTTTTCTTTCTTAGTAAATTGATTTGATCACCTAAGAATCCATTCCCATAGT